GGGATATGTGGGATTTGGGATATGTGGGATTTGGGACGCGTGGGATTAGGGATGTGTGGGATTTGGGATATGTGGAATTTGACATATGTGGGATTTGGGACGCGTGGGATTTGGGATATGTGGGATTTGGCATATGTGGGATTTGGGACGCGTGAGATTTGCCATATGTGGGATTTGGCACATGTGAGACCTGGGATATGTGGAACCTAACATATGCGACACCTTGTAACTTTACAAATTTCTACTTTCCCAACTCGAAAACCTAACCTAACCCAACCTCCAAACAATTACCCTGTAACCCACAAAAAATTATTAACCTCTTAACCCATCTGAACCCCAATCCAAAAAACCACAACTCCAAATTTCACTAACCGCTCACCTCACCCAATCTTACCTAACAAATCAAAGCAGCCATCGATATACATCGATAGTCACACCTGTGCCTCCCACTCGTGCATCCATTCCCCGTAATGAAATTCGCCCAACGTCGCCGAATACCTTGCGAGCATATTCGTAGCCCGCTAGTTGGCCGCCGTAGCTCGAGCGCGTTTAATCGAGTATCTGGCGGAAGCCACGTGATTTCGGAACAGCTCGGCAGAAAATCACGACCCGATACCTGCTGAATAATTCATTCAGTCTTTCATTAAGCGTCCAGCTGACCGTCCGAAAGCTGTAACCGCTGCGGAAGAAAAAAAACACTGTCTCTTGTAGACATCGTTGATTTAATTCGAACTTTCGTTTCCTGGAGGACGTCGATAAGACGAGGCAAGGATTTCGGCGCGGCAGGATTTTCTGTCTGGATGTTGAATAAAATGTCTGTGTAGTCTCGGAGTTATCGGACGGATTAGCAGAGTTGCACGATTATAAGTTCGGTTAAGTCGCGGGTCGGTTGCAGAGCTGTCCAGCAATAATATTTAATTACCGGGTGGATCGAAAGTGACGGAAGTTGAGAGATACACGGGTGTCGCTGAAAATTTAATTCATGCCTACCAGGAAACTGCTGGTATGTCCTTAATCGTTTTCGAGTGTTATACAGATCGCGGTGTACAGTGGAGTGCAAGGCTTGAGTTTTTAGAGAAAATGTGAGGAGTGTGGATGAAGGAGTAGTGTGTGTGTTGATTTTTGGGAGGTTTTGGGGATTTGGGGGTTTGAGGGTGGGTTGACAATTTGGATCTTGGGATTTGGGATATGTAGGATTTGGGATATGTGGGATTTGGGATATGTGGAATTTGGGATATGTGAGATTTGGGATATGTGGGATTTGACATATGTGAGATTTGGGATATGTGGGATTTGGAATGTGTGGGATTTGGAATGTGTGGAATTTGGGATATGTGGGATTTTACATATGTGGGATTTGGGACGCGTGGTATTTGGGATGTGTGGGATTTGGGACGCGTGGTAATTGGGATGTGTGGGATTTGGGACGCGTGGGATTTGTCATATGTGGGATTTGGGACGCGTGGGATTTGGGATGTGTGGGATTTGGGACGCGTGGAATGTGACATGTGTGGGATTTGGGACGCGTGGGATTTGACATATGTGGGATTTGGGACGCGTGGGATTTGGGATATGTGGGATTTGACACAAGTGGTATTTAACATATGTGGAATTTGACATATGTGGGATTTGGGATACGTGAATCTTGAGATTTGAACCTTAAGAAACTTAAAAATATATTTCCAACTAAATAAATTTATGGAATTTAAGCGTACGTTGCAGTCGAGCGTACCTGTCGCGAGAAGTGTCACCTATCGCCGCAGTAAGCTCGAACTTGATCGTTGAGGGCGTACCGGAAGCACGATCCTGCAAGTTAGCGTTTTTCGACGTGAAACGATAGAAACGCGATCGTGCTGCTTGTCACTTTCCAAACATAACTCGTACAATAAGTTTCCTCTGTTTATCCTGCTGAATTGGATATCAAGTTGTTCTAAATGACAAATGCAATCGCGTATGACTCCACATTCGTCATATATTACTTACCGTCATATGTTATCACATGTGTAGTCATGTATTCAGAGTTCTATCATATGTTTATATAATTGTCATTTAACATATTAATCATCATTGAGTATGTTAATATATTGATATGATAATATAATAATGAATATTAATATATCCATATGATGATTTAATAATGAATTAGTATGTTAATATATTGATATGATGATATAATCCTGAATCAGCATATTAACATATTCGTACATATTTATGCATATTTATACATCCTAGAAGTCGTTGACCTCGTCGCTCATTAAATCTTTTACCGAATATAGTGTACTACGTGGCACATAAAAGTTAGATGACTTTCCTCGAGCAGCCCGAATATATTTGAATAATTTAATCCCCGTTTCAGAGTATCCTGCGCGGCAGGACAGTCTGTCAGAAAGGTCAGAAGAAGAAGACGGTGGCGTTCACGGAATATCTGACGGAGATAATCGGCTACGGGGGAGATGACTTCTTCTCGGACGCAGACGACGAAGACGAGCAAGATCTGGCCGAGTCATTCAATACCGATGACGAACTAGTGCCAGACAGCGAAGAGGAACGAGCATTGGGTAACCTGACGCGTGCCAACACCAATTTCAATACGATTACTGCCAATCTGACGGAGATCGTCTCCACGAACGAGACGAGCAAATCGTCGTCGACGAAATCCTTCGCGTCCTTGATGCTGGGAAGGATACAGAAGGATTCCGAGGGCAAGAAGACCACGCTGTTGGTTTCGGTTACACCGTTCGGGGGCGATGAGTCTCTGCCGACTGCCAAGAGACCCAGCGATAAGAAGGTTAATGGATTCGTCAATGGCTTCGTTGCTAACCCGACTAGGTGTAAGAGTGATAATGAGAAAGTGGAGGTTAGTATTCTCATATCCCAAATCCCACATATGTCAAATCTCACATATCCCAAATCCCACACATCCTAAATTCCACGTGTTCCAAATCCCACACGTCCTAAATCCCACACATTCCAAATCCCACACATCCCAAATCCCACGTGTCCCAAATCCCACATATCCCAAATCCCACATGTCCCAAATCCCACATGTTCCAAATCCCACACGTCCCAAATCCCACACATTCCAAATCCTACACACCCCAAATCCCACATGTCCCAAATCCCACATATGTCAAATCTCACATATCCCAAATCCCACACATCCTAAATTCCACGTGTTCCAAATCCCACACGTCTCAAACCCCACATATGTCAAATCCCACAAATCCCAAATCCCACATGTCCCAAATCCCAGATTCCAAATCCCTAAATCCCCAAATCCCAAATCCCCAATCCCAAATCCCCAAATCGCTACATCCAGCTATAGATTCCCAAGTCCACAAATCCCTAACTCCCCACACCTTCAAATCTTCTAATTCCTATAACCCCAAATCTCCAAATCCTCAAATCCACCAAATCCACCAAATCCAAATCCCCAAATTACCACCCCACAGATCACTAAAATCCAGCCAATCATTAACTTCAGAAACTCAAGCTTCGCCATATTTCCCCCATCAAATTTAATGCTTGCACGCTGTCCAAAATGCCCATCAAGCATCTTAATCTATCCGTCGCCGCATCTCATTCTAAACCTCGTATGTTCCCTAGCAGACGCCGTCAAAAGCCGCGAAGAAGATTGACGCGGAAGCAAAGAAGGACGAGAAGAAGGAGCAGAAATACCCCACGGGAATGGAGAAGATCGTGGACATGCCTCTGATCGCGTCTAACAACTTAATCTCCGTGATCCAGCGGAACGAGTCGACGGAGTTCAAGGATAAAACGGAGGTTAACGACGTCAACGAGATCGGTAAATCGGACAAGAAGACCGTCTATCGTCCACCTAAGAAGCCGGACGAGAAACCAAAAACGGTTCAACCGGTTCAAAATGGCGGGAAGATGGAGTACGACTTCTCAGGGAGGCTCTCAAAGAACGACTCGAAGGGCATCGAGTTGACACTGACTCCTTTATCAAAAAACGACGATCCAGCTGAGAGAGACAGGTTGAAAGAGGTCCGTAAAGTGGAGACACCTCCAGAGACTCGAAAAGCGGATGGACAAGCCTCTCCCGTGAAGTTCACTTTTGAAGAAAGCAGAGAGTCGGCTGGGGAACCGGATGGAAAGGCGGACGAAGAGGAAGTTGTCGAACCACCCGCGATACCCAGGAGTCCCTTACCTGTGGAGGTTACTCTTCAGGACAAAACTGTCGCCACGGAACCGAGACCTTCGTTTCTTCATGGGGCGGTCAATTCGGAATGCAAAGTGAAACCCGTGGTGCCACAGAAACCTGTGAGCTTCATGGCTAAGGGCTCTGAGGCGGGGCAGAGCAAGAAGAGCTACGTACTGCCGCCGCCTTCTGTTCAGAATGTTGCGAGGACTGCTCAGAGCATAGGTAGGGTGATAGTTTTAGACTAGTTGGAACTGTTGATAAGAATGTGGACATATAACACTAATTTAGGTACAGATTGCTATAGCTGATATTTAGTATGTTTATCATATATCAGACAGACGGGATGAGACACTTGAAATTGGCTACCTAACTAACTTAGTTGCTGTTGCTGACAAAAATGCATCAGGTAAAAATTATTTGATCACGGAACTCATCTGATGTTACCAGTCTCTGGACACCAAATAATTTTACCCTGATGCAATTTTGTCTATCAACAATAGCTAAGGTATTCAGGTAGTTGTACATACCTCATATGTCTATTTAATATATGATAAAGTATTGTACATATAGCATTGTAACATGTCAACAGCATCAAACTCAAGTGGGTCTCAAACCCATCACTCCATACAATCTTCACAATTCTCACCCACTTAGAATACACTTGAAGCACTATCACCATGTAATCAAATCCCCGGTATTTAGTATCGCCTAGATGACTAGTAAGATGACTAATTAGACGACTAATAAGATCACACGATCCCTTAATTACCACCTCTGATTTCCAGGTGTTCCATCTTCAGACCAGACCTCCTGTCGATCGATACCCAAAGAGAAGTTCGAGGAGCAACCAGTAGTGGATCAGGTCGTAGGGTCTTGCGAGGAGAATCAGATCTCGCGGGTTCAAGGAGTGCCGAAGACCGCGTGCCAGGCGGTCGAACCCGCGACGAAACCCGAGTTAAAGTCTCCAGTCAAGGCACCGCGGACGGCGGACGATGAGACGGCGGAGGAGGAGGAAGTTTTTGAGTCCATCCGGTCGCCCAACAAAAGGAGGATGGCGCCCAAGCCACCCGCGGCTGATTTATCTGAGGAATTAGCCCCGAGTTCTTCGCTGTTCGCCAGGAACCCCGTGGCGACCTTGAAATCAGATTCGCCGGTGGTCAGAGAGAAAGAGAAGAGAGAGAGAGCGTCATCGTGTAGCCCCAAGTTCAGGAAGGCCGTTTCGGACCTGCCGGATCCGACCAACCAGTCTTCAGATCCCGCGTCCAGGAGGACGATATCCCTGTCGCAGGACAGTCTCACAAGCGGACCTGAGACTAGAGAAGAGAAGAAGCGCGGTAGATCTCGCTTTTCTTTGAAGAGATTCCTCAGGATGGGCTCCAGAAAGGACGTCGACATGGTGAACGGATCGTCGAACTCCAGGATCGACGAGATCCCGTCGACACCGCAGCCCAAACCACGCTTGGAGATAATCCATCCGCTAGAGCTGGATGGCGCGGCCGTCGAGGTGGTCGGCAACGACAGGATCAGCAGGATAAGCGAGGATCAACCCGATTCAGCGGGCAGGAACGACGCGGGACGAGCTACTCGATCGCCGCCGATGTCCACCGGATCTCAGGCTACCGGTGAGATTCGCTTTCTGATACCCGATGCCGGAGATTTATCGCGATTCTCGCGTTCCTGTGTCTTCCGTTTGATTAATGTACCGACCGGGACACGCGCTGACTTTGCTCGTACGCTTCGCGGGATCATGCGGAGACAAATGGCACCGCAGAGACAACTTTGGTGATAAATGATGCTTTGACTTAATTCAACGTTAGTCTCCAACTATTTTGGGCTCTTGGAATAGTAATTTTGGGTAACGGGAATTGTGGTGTAGGATTGATGTGGGGATTTGGACAGTTTTTAGGGTGGGAGCAAGTGTTGTGATTATAGAAAGTCAGACCCCAAATATGCTAGACCCAGAATCTGCCAGATCTTAAATTAGCCAGACTCCAAATGTTATGACCTTCAAATTTCTGCATCTCTATGGCGTTAGATGTGCAAATCCATATATTCTCAAATCTTCAAGTCAGACCCCAAATTTGCTAGACCCAGAATCTGCCAGATCTTAAATCTGCCAGATTCCAAATCTGCCAGACTCCAAATGTTATGACCTTCAAATTCCTGCATTTCTAAGACGTTAGATCTGCAAATCCATATATTCTCAAATCTTCAAGTCAGACCCCAAATTTGCTAGACCCAGAATCTGCCAGATCTTAAATCTGCCAGACTCCAAATGTTATGACCTTCAAATTCCTGCATCTCTAAGTCGTTAGATCTGCAAATCCATATATTCTCAAATCCCCAAGTCAGACCCCAAATTTGCCAGACTCCAAATCTGCCAGAGCCCAAATCTATCAAACCCCATATCTGCCAGACCCCAAATCTGAAAGACCCCAAATCTGTCAAACCCTAAATCTGCAAGACCCCAAATCTGCCAGACCCCAAATCTGTCAAACCCCATATCTGCCAGGGCCCAAATCTGTCAAACCCCATATCTGTCAAACCCCAAATCTGTCAAACCCCATATCTGTCAAACCCCAAATCTGCCAGACCCCAAATCCGCCAAACCCCAAATCTGTCAAACCCTAAAACTGCCAGGTCCAAAATCTCCCAGATCCCAAATCTGCCAAACCCCAAATTTGTCAAACCCCAAATCTGCAAGGCCCCAAATCTATCAGATCCCAAATCTGCCAAACCCAAACCCGCCAGATCCTAAATCTGCCAAACCCCAAATCTGATGCCTACCTCCCCAAACAGAAAGTTTGCCAAATCCCCCTCTTCCAACTTCGTACCACGTCATAAATTTTTAAAAATCAAGCGGAAGACTGCTCCCTCGATCTTCCCCAGAGATTCCTTTGACCGTACAGCAAACTATCTCGCTTTTCGAAAACATCGATTAATAATCGAGTAGACAGCGCGGTTCCCAAGTTGTCGAAACAGCTTGTTAAAATTACAAGCTACGTAACCTACGATATTCGACGTTACAGCGAGACCCGGAAAACCACCACCACCGCCAAGGAACCAGTCCCTGGAGGATTGGTCGAGACTGGATGCAGCCAACAAACCGGTCAGACCACCACCGCCACGCGTGGAAACCAAACTGCCGGCAAGAAGCGACAAACCTTCTAAATCAACGTCATCCTCGTCGTCCACGTCCTCGTCTTCGTCAACGTCGTCCGCGTCGTGGCAGCCAACCACGACCTCAGACTCGATTTACGCGAATCTGGGTAAGTTCAGGCCCATACAATGTAACTAATTATTGAAACCACGGCAAAGTCTCGATGTTGTAACAGCCATACTCACACGAATCCTCGCGCCAGCTGCTTCCTTACGAATCTACTTATCGCGAGAACGTCGGTAATAATCCTGTAACGCTGGATAACGGTGGTTAACTCTCATCCCCACCTTCTCCCGTTTTTCTCGATTATTGTGTTTTTTTGGAGCTCGCCGGGTCGACTACGGTCGTCGTGAAACTGGCGTACTCGCGTCTCTTTTTCTTTTTTCGGTTTGAACTGGAGACAGGGAGGGGGTTGATGTTTGACTGTGTCGATGGTGTCGTTAGGGAGCAGGGAATCTAGGTGAAGAGTGCAATATTTAATTAGTGTGGGGTTAAGTAGGTACTATAGGTTTGTGAATTTTTGGATTGGGGTTTGGGGAGATGGAGGAGATTTGGTGGGGAGTGGGGTTGAGAGTTTGGGGGTTGAGGAGACGGGGATTTGGAAATTTGGGGGTTGAGGAATTGGAGATTGGGAAAATTGGGAGATTTGGTAATGAGGAAGATGGGGGATTTGGGGTTTGAGGGTTTGGGGTTTGAGGAATTGGGGATTTGGAAATTTAGGGGTTGAGAATTTGAGAGTTTAAGGGTTTGGGGGGTAGAGAATTTGGGGGGTTGAGAATTTGGGGGGTTGAGAATTTGGGGGTTTGAGGGTTTGGGGGTTTGAGGGTTTGGGGGATAGAAAATTTAGGCGTTTGAGAATTTGGGGATTTGAGAATTTGGGAATATAGGAATTTGGGGGTTGAGAATTTGGGGATTTGGAAATTTGGGATTTGAGGAATTGGGAATTTGGAAATTTGGGGGTTGAGGAGTTGGGGATTTGGAAATTTGGGATTTGAGGAGTTGGGGATTTGGAAATTTGGGGGTTGAGGAGTTGGGGATTTGGAAATTTGGGAGTTGAGGAGTTGGGGATTTGAAAATTTGGGGGTTGAGGAGTTGGGGATTTGGCAATTTGGAGATTTGGTACTGGGGAAGATGAAGGATTTGGGATTTGAGAGTTTGGGATTTGACGGTTTAGGTATTTGAGGACTTGGGATTTGAGGATTTGGGGGTTGAGGAGTTGGGGATTTGGAAATTTGGGAGTTGGGGAGTTGAGGATTTGGAAATTTGGAAATTTGGTACTGGGGAAGATGAAGGATTTGGGATTTGAGAGTTTGGGATTTGACGGTTTGGAGTTTGAGAATTGGGGGTTTGAGGATTTGGGGAGTTGGAATTTCGGGGTAGAGGAATTGGGGGATTTGCTACTGTGGAAGTTTGAGATCAGGAATGTGGGAATTTGAGGTTCAAGAACATAGGATTTGAAGATGTAGAAGTCTGAGTTTCTGGTATTTCAAGATCTGAAGGTTCAACTATTTAGGGCTTAAGATTTAGAGATTCGAGGATCTGATAAAAAAATTCACTAACTGAAATTTGGAAGACAAGCTAAGAATTGAACTAAGAAATTCGCACATTAACTTGAAAATTATCTACTGAAAATTACTTCATCCCCACCTTCCCCTATTCGCCTTAACGATATCTTAACGACGCTAAAATATCAAAGAAACACTGCTTCCTAAAATCGATAACTGCATCGTTGCTCTAGTTCAACAGAAAAGAAAAAGGGACGAATTACGCGAAACAATACCGGATTTATAAATAATCTTGACTATACGATTCTTTGCGATTTTTGCTATATGCCATACGCGTTTTTATATTATACTAATCCATTGGAAAGACTACGTATATTCTACTCGTGTACTCTGTCGACTAACCGACTTATAATACAGATATGTTATACGTTTCTAAGATTCACGATTCTCTGTGATACCTATACATATACATGTGTATCTTATTATCAACGTTACTACTTTGTACTATCCGTCGTGGAAGCGTGACTATCGTTTACCATTTTATCGATACTTATATGTCGATGATGTCGTTGCGATATCGTGAATGCGAATGGAGGAGTTTCATTTCTGGCAAAAATTAAAAAATGTATGAATTCAATTTTTTTTTGAATTTATACAATTTTTTAAAATTTTGTATGATGGAAAATTAAGTAATCTTTGCTCAAAGTGAATTTTCTAAAAAAACAGTAGATTATAGTTAATAATTAAGAAGTTTGCAAGTAGTCCTCGAAGATAAATTTATAAAATTAATGAATTAATTTAACCACTTGATTAATTTATTAATCTACAGATAAGTTTTTGTTTTGAGCATCCCTTTCGCACGAGTCGTGTCTAAACGTCGCTGCATCGACTATCGATAATATCCCTGATCGATAACGATACCGATAGTCACACCTCTAATCCGTCAGCGTTGAAACGACGAAAGAAATGTTCGGAGATTCGCGAGAACGCTTCCGACGTGGCGCGAACCCATTGTTTCCAACGCGCGCAATTCGCTATTTTCGATACAGAAATTTTGCTCCACCGACCACGGGAGTGCGATCAAAAAAGTTTGAGAATGGCTGACTGAACGAAAGAACAACGAGTGCGGCGCTCAACCGTTTTGTACCAATCGATACACCGTGTTGTGTACTCACGAAAAGAAAATGGACTACAAAAAAGATTCTCTGTAACCTGGAATTTCTGTGTCTGAAATAAACGTTTGTTGCCTGAAAAAATAGAAATTGTTTTCTTGGTCACTCTCGATTACGATTACGCTTCTTTTGCACCCGTTTCATGACGAACCGAACGGAGGCCTCGGCGACGTGAAACGACCAAGCGAGAAAATCCTTCGATTATTATCGAACTTATGCTTCATCGTTAACCGCATGCACCAGACTTTGCCTTCGTGCACGGTTCTTTCATTCGCTATTGGCTCATCCAAAACGTTCGTTAGTTCGTGTTAGATCCTTAACCCTTCACTGCTTGCTTGTCAGGTTTTAGTTCTTCTGTATTCCTTGATACTGGTCTGTGGGGCATTAATATTTCTAGGGTCTGCTTTAAAATTGTATGCAGGTGAAACTGACGCTTTGGTGCACGCTGGACGTGCAGGAAATGACGTCAGGAAATTCGTTACGTAAACAAGTATCATGTTTAGTGGAGTTATGTTACATAAACAAGTATCTTGTTACGTAAGGTATTGTATTACGTTAATGTATATCTGATTACGTGAAGATATATTTTGTTACGTAGACACGTATCTCATTACGTGAACAAGTATCATATTACGTCAAGTCATATCGAATTACTTGAAGTCATATCTCGTTTCGTAAACAAGTATCTTGTTACGTCAAGCAGTATCGTATTACGTCAAGGTATATCTGATTACATAAACCCAGATCTTGTTATGTGAACATGTATCTCATTACGTAAACAAGTATCATATTACGTCCAGTTATATCGAATTACTTGAGCAAGTATCATATTACGTGTAGTTATATCGAATTACTTAAAGTCATATCATGTTACATGGACAAGTATCTTGTTACGTCAAGTAGTATCACATTACGTCAACGCATATCTGTTTGCATAAACACAGATCTTGTTACGTGAACACATATCTCATTACGTGAACAAGTATCATATTACGTCTAGTTATATCGAATTACTTAAAGTCATATCATGTTACATGGACAAGTATCTTGTTACGTCAAGCAGTATCGTATTACGTCAACGTATATCTGATTACATAAAGACATATCTTGTTACGTGAACACATATCTCATTACGTGAACAAGTATCATGTTACGTCAAGTCATATCGAATTACTTAAAGTCATATCTCGTTTCGTAAACAAGTATCTTGTTACGTCAAGTAGTATCGTATTACGTCAACGAATATTTAATTACATAAAGGCATATCTTGTTACGTGAACACATATCTCATTACGTAAATGCTACACTTAAATGATGCATACTATTTACCAGAACATCCTACGTATTTGCAACAATTATTCAAACTAGCATAACCTGAAACTATTCAAACTAGTATAACCTGTAAATGAATTTTTCTTTCATTTGTCATTCGTCAAGAAAAGTTCGTGCCATATTTATTCAAAAATATATAAAAATAATATTTTCAAAAGCCACATAGAAATATAAATATTATGTAAACAACAGAAGTAAAAAGGAATGTGACTGCATGAAGATTAACCTTGATAATTGTATCAAGTTTAAAAAAAGTTAAAAAAAATAAAGCACACGGTACGAGCTTTTGTAACAACGAAATAACACGTCACTTCTTTTTGTGTGTCGATCAATTCACCCCCACTCGTGAAACCAGTCCGATGCTTTTCTCTTTCCTGACGAATCGAATCTAGGTGGATAATCGATAGGTAGAGAGGTGCTCTTCCGATTTTCTGGTCCGCTGTAAATAGCAAACGCGTCGGTACCATTGTTGCGCAAGGCCTCCTTCTTAACCACCCTGGGTGCAACTAACGCCGCATGTATTGATTGCATATTAGCATCGTGTTCCCTTTTAGTCGGACCTTGATAACGAATGCCTGCCAATTCCAGAATTCCCCACAATTACGCTGGAACTACGAACGCCACTTAATTCGGGGTGTTTCCTACGGAATTTCTAGAACTCTATCGATACCGTTAGCCGCGCTATTACTTTCCGACGGAATTAGGATATTCCTGTTACGAATTAGATATCTAGGTAATTTTTACGATAGGTTACCATTAACTGGTTCCCAATTTCTTGGTACCCTTGGTTGGTTTAGTAGGGTAGAGTTGGCTTTAGAAAAATTCGAAATCTAGTGATTTGTACATTGAACAATTTGAAAATTTTAAATGATAGATTTGGTGAGTAGGATTGGTGAATTTTTGCCCTGTGCCAAAGTGTACATACGACTCCTGTGACTCTAGTGACTCTAGGAATCCTAGGAACACCTCTGACCTAAAGTATATGATTCTCAGAATCTGAAAGAGCCTAGGGACCCTAGAGTACTAGTGACACATCAGTGTCTCCAGATACCTAAGCTAACCTAACCTAATTCTAGGGACCCTAGGAGCACCTCTGACCTAAAGTATATGATTCTCAGAATCTGAAGGATCCTAGGGACCTTAGAGCACTCATGACACATCAGTGCACCTCCAGATACCTAAGCTAACCTAACCTAATTCTAGGGACCCTAGGAGCACCTCTGATCTAAAGTATATGATTCTCAGAATCTGAAGGCACCTAGGGACCTTAGAGCATTCATGACACATCAGTGTCTCCATATACCTAAGCTAACCTAACCTAACTCTAGGGACCCTAGGAACACCTCTGACTTAAAGTATATGATTCTCAGAATCTGATGGATCCAGGGACCTTAGAGCACCAGTGACACAATGTATCTCCAGACCCAGTGACTCTAACGATTCCCTAGGAACCCTAGATTCTGCAATAGTTCCAAGAATCCCGAAATCCTAAAGGAATTAATAGTTCCAGGGTCAATGCTAGAAACCCTACAGTAGGAATCCCAGCGCGCCAAAGAACCCTAGACCCAAGTTTTAGGAATCTATTGCCTCGAATGGCCTGTCGAACGATCTCGGATACCTAACCCTAGGGACTAAACTCTAGGGAGCCTTAGCGTAGCGCGTCTCTAGAGTAATATCGCAACGAGTGCCGTCCTCCTAGCACGCTAGTACGGTAGCTAGCCTGTTTTGTGACATGCCTTGTGTCTTGTGGTACTAACCCGTGGCGCTTGACGATGGCGGACGTGCCTGCAGCAGCGGAGGATGTTACAGGTGAGGTGCGCAGCTCGTTGGCACCCTCGAAACCGCAAAGAACCGCCAGCATGAGGGACCAAGCCACCTCGCAACCGATCCTGAAGAAACACGGATCCTCCAGTCCGGCCCTTAATCAGGATTACGAGTCAGTCGCGGTCGCCGCACCACCCACGTCCGATTCTCTGGTAATGCCACTATCGATGGCCTTTTAACGCGACTTTTATGACCGCACGGCCAATTGGAACGAATTGGAAGGTGTTCAAGAGTTTAACCTCCTTCGCCGGGTTGCTTCCAAACAAAACTACCCGCTTTATGACCGGGAGACCTAGTAAACGTCTACTTTCCGCCGTATAAATTCACCACTGTGTTCACATTTCGCTGGAAGGTACTAGTTAACACAATTTTCAAAATTTCTTCAGATCAAAGTTCTCGTATCCCAGGTTCCATGGACGCCGTTAAATTCTTCTACACCTTCCTATTAATTTCCCACAACACGATACGCTTGTGGAAGACAAACCGATAGCGGTAAATTAAAGTCTGCTTTTCCCTGATTTTTTCCAGACATCTAACGACAGTCATGTTTACGAGTGCCTTTCTAGCTCGCCAGAGTGCGATTCGAATCTCGAGCTACGACACGGGGGTGGATCTCATCTCACCTGTAAGAGGAAATCCGACAGCAACGCGATGGAACCCGCTGCGGAATTCAAATTCCATCATCAGACGTTCGTCAGATCGACTTCGCTTCCGTATTGCGGCAGCGAGACCGAGAGCGAGTTGTACGCTCCCTATGGTTTCTACACCGGCGACGAGGTACCATCTTTTTACCGTCTCCTCGCAAAAACATGATACACCATATCCGGCTACGGAGAATTCATTTCCTGGACTAGCTTCCAAAGACTATCTCGTTTTGTTCCTCTACGAATGATACTTAAAAATTCTTTGCAAATGGACCAACTTAAAATTGTTCGCTGATGGACGAACTTAAAATTGTTCGCTGACGGACGAACTTAAAATTGTTTAAAAATAATGATACTTAAAATTATTTTCAAATAGGACTACTTTAAAATTGATTGCAAATGGAGTCTCTTAGAAATTGTTTGCATATAGAGTATTTTAAAAACTTGCTTGAAAATAATGATACTTTAAATTATTTTCAAATAGGGCTACTTTGAAATTGATTGCAAATGGAGTCTCTTGAAAATTGTTTACATAAAGTGTTTTTTTAAAAATTGATTGCAAATGGAGTCTCTTGAAAATTGTTTGCATATAGAGTCTTTTAAAAATTGAATGCAAATGGAGTCTTTTAAAAATTGTTTGAATATAGAGTCTTTTAGAAATTATTTGCAAATGGAGTCTTTTAAAAATTGAATGCAAATGGAGTCTTTTAAAAATTGTTTGAATATAGAGTCTTTTAAAAATTGTTTGAATATAGAGTCTTTTAGAAACGGTTTGCAAATGTAGTCTTTTAAAAATTGTTTGTACATGGAGTCTTTTAGAGCGCATTGTCAGAATGCCTGAAAGCGTCAGTAAACGTGTGTCAGTAAATACGCCCGAAAATGGATAGCGTAAGGGGCGACTTAGAGCGAGCACCGCAAGATTTTCTGAAAAGGCGATTCGTTTTCGCCCGCAAAAACGACGATTCCACACAAGAGTTTTCTGCCGGTATTTACGGAACTTTATTACCCGGCGGAAAATTCATGGCACGGCCAGACTCTTCGTATATAATAAAGAGCCACGGAAACAATTTTACTTCGAGATAGTTTTATCGGTCGCGCGAAACCCGCGGAATTTCTAATGGAATGTTTAAAATGCAGGGCCCTGAGGAGGATCAGGACTGGAAGAATAAGGACGACGAATTAAGGATAAGCCGATTGAGGCAACGCAGAGGTCGCAGTATAGTTCATCGGAGCCTCGAGGATAATTACGGCGCCGTCGTCGTCGCCAATCACGAGGCTCTTGCGCAGTTTCTCGAACAGGTATTCTACTATTTTGTAGTCCATGTGAAATTAGGGGGGGTTTAAGTCATCGTTTTACCGGTTTCGAATTTGTTAAGGAATAACAAGCCTTCAAAGTCTGCAAGTTTTGTCCATTTTTGCGAAAGGGGTCGTTTACGAATTTTTTTCTCAGAAACTACTCAACCAATTTGACTAAATTCTTTCTTATTTTATTCGCGAAGGATTGGGCTATTGTAAAATATTTTTTGTTAAGTCGAGGTTTGAAAATTCACGTCACTACAAGCTGGAAAAGTCGCAGCCTTTACATAGGCGAGTCGCAGCCATTATGACTCAAAGCAAGCTGCGCGCGCAGCTATTATGACTCAAGCAAGCTGCGCGCGCAACTCGCGTACCCAAAATGGCGGTCCCATTTGCACCTTATCCCCACATCTGAAGTTTATCCCAAATTAGTACAATTATCGCAAACGATACGCTTTGATCTATGCATGAAAAATACAGGTATTGGATGTGTTGCAGCTGAACCAAACGCCTCAAGTGCCAGTCGGGCTGCGAGCACTGAAAAATACGAATCCCCGTATAAGCCACTTCAACATCGACGCCAATACGTCGATTACCGTCGGCAGAAGAATATTTTACTCAGCGACGTGGAACGAGATGAACGTCACTATCTGCGTCGCCTTCGATCTGGCCACACACGTGTCACGGAAGGAATTTTATTTGGCACCTATAATCGAGTTTATAGACAGCGTGCCGAAGGAAATTACCGAGAGAGCGGGTCTTCCGGGGAACAAGCAGCCTGAGGGTACATTTCATTTTTCTGATATCGAAACTCGGTAAAATCATTTTGATCTTCCTGGCGAAAACAACATCTTGAATATCAAATTCTGATGAGCTATCTTTCAATTCCTATGTGGCTATATAGGAAAGTCTAGTGACGTAATTGATGCACACCAAAATAAACCTTAAATCAAGAACTAATATTAGAACATTAAGAGTGGAATAAAAATAAATTTATCCTCGATTAAAATAAACTTGCCGCTAGTGAAATATCAATCAATGAAATATCAATTAAGTAACTTTTAACTTTTCATCCGCTGTTTGAATTAAATATTGGCCCATCATTTCCGATGAATTCGTAATTTAATCCCAAATTGCATGTTTAATTATGAATCAAACATATCCAATTAACAGGCAATTAAATTAAAAAGGTAATTATTCGGATCCCTGTCACTTTGCACGAAAACATCACTGTTACAGTAACGATTTCCGTTTTACCGCGTCTGCAAGTGAACACCATACAATCCTTCGGTACGATGACCAAGGACATGCACGACGAAGGAACGATCCGAGAAGCCTCGTTCGTGCTTCTGCAATTCGTCACAGCGTTGAAGAGTCTGCAAGCGAGAGGAATCGAGGAATCTGCGAGGAGTTTGAACAACGTGGTGCTGTGCAGAGAGGACAAGGACGCCTATTACAGGCTATATCTTCTTCAGGGGTCGGTAAACGCGCGACGTGGCTCTCTCGACGCCAACCTCGGAATTGGTTTGCTTACTGCTCGATAACATTTGACAGATTGAACGTGGAGATGAACGAGGAACGGGATGAGGAGAGGGTCTCCTTGTGTCAGTGCGCCCTCGTCGCTCTTCAGCAACTCAACCTCGCGAACAGGCTACCCGTGATTCAGGAGCTGCTGATGAGGGAGAAGGCTGTCACCTTGTCTCAGGTAATTGTCACACAATTTACGGTTTTGCACTTCGATATATATGGGGTATTTCAGTGTACATGCACTTCAAGTTATACTCCAGGAGTTCGCATATGGTTCACATGTGGTTCACATATGGTCACATATGGTTCACACATGGTTCACACGTGGTTCAGTATATGGTACATTAATTTGGATGTTCAAGGTTGATGAAAATTAGTAGTCAAATGTGGTTCATAACTATTCACATATGGTTCACACATGGTTCATACGTGGTTCACACATGGTTCATACGTGGTTCACACGTGGTTCATACGTGGTTCACACATGGTTCATACGTGGTTCACACATGGTTCATACGTGGTTCACACATGGTTCATACGTGGTTCACACATGGTTCATACGTGGTTCACACATGGTTCATACGTGGTTCACACATGGTTCATACGTGGTTCACACATGGTTCATACGTGGTTCACACATGGTTCATACGTGGTTCACACATGGTTCATACGTGGTTCACACATGGTTCATACGTGGTTCACACATGGTTCATACGTGGTTCACACATGGTTCATACGTGGTTCACACATGGTTCATACGTGGTTCACACATGGTTCATACGTGGTTCACACATGGTTCATACGTGGTTCACACATGGTTCATACGTGGTTCACACGTGGTTCAGTTACACAAGATGAAATATATGGCTCATTAATTTGGACGTTCAAGTTTGATGAAAATGACTATTCAAATGTGGTTCATAACTACTCGCATGTAGTTCACATATGATACACACATGGTACATAGGTGGTTCACACGTGTTTCAATTACACAAGATGAAATATATGGCTCATTAATTTGGTCGTTCAAGTTTGATGAAAATGACTATTCAAATATGGTTCATAACTACTCACATGTAGTTCACACATAATACACACATGGTACATACGTGGTTCACACGTGGTGTAGTTACATATGATGATATACATGGTGCATTGATTTGGACGTTTAAGTTTGATGAAAATAACTATTCAAATGTGGTTCGTAACTGTTCACATGTAGTTCACATATGGTTCACATGTGCTTCATACGTGGTTCACACGTGGTGTAGTTACATATGATGATATACATGGTCCATTGATTTAGACATTTAAGTTTGATGAAAATAACTATTCAAATGTGGTTTATGACTATTCACATATGGTTCACATGTGATTCATAATGTAAGATAAATAGATTGCTGTATGCTACATGCAATTGTACCTATATGCACATGAATCAGAAAGTGTCCTGATGTCATCTTACTAGTAATTTGATTTAATATCTAGATATTATTAACTGAGATGTATGAAAGCACTTTTTGACTAACAAATTTTTTAAACAATTGAGTAATTTCATTTGTAAAAAAATAAGAGTTACATTAATACGTGAAATTATAATCTAACTTCATATGATATCAAAACATGAAGTTACATTGCTACACGACAATAAGAGTTTGCAGTACGGATGAGAACGAAGAATGTAGATTAAGTAAAAGTATACATTGTATTTGTAGGTGAAATCAGTCCTGGAATTTTCTCTGTGGGGTCCAGCGGACGTGACCCTGGGCGGACCAAGGGACAGAGAGGTGACCCTTCAAAGATGGCTAGATCTGGAGAGAGCTAACGTTCTTCATGCTCTGGTGAGGACAAGGACACCCCTGACCGTCACGGACGAATACCAATTGCTATTCTTGGTTCGAACCAGCGCGAAAATTATGGGCCAAGCGTCATTGCTGTTGGACGAGCAACGAACCAGGCTGGCCAAAGCTCGCTAATCGGCCCCTTTTTCCGTAAAACTAATGCCAAACGAACCGGTGAACGTTTCGTGGACGAAATACGTTCGATGTTCAACGAAGCTGACATCGGTCGAACGTGTCTTTAGGAGACCGGTTTGTACAGAGATCCAAAAGATCTGACAATTCAGGAAGACATTCGAGTGCCAATGCTCAAAGTGCTAAGTGGACTACTCTCTATCCACGCATCTTTTATAAATAATCACTTCCTATATGTATTATCTTATTAACTGTTTGTATAAATAAATTGTTCGAACGTGGAAGCTTGGTGTATTATTTCCTCGATTAATCAGGGTAATACGCTGTATCCGATTAGGCAAGCGTGTAAAGTTACAATAGCACCCTTGTGCGTATTGAACTGTTGTTCAATGAGCACGGAGACAAATGGCTATTGTTCCAGGGTAATTTGAATGAGTATTAGGTACTTTCGAAGTTGTATATCTCTGTTACCGGTGAAATAGATGTTTAAACATTTTCCATGCACATAGTTCACTTACACAATGGTAGGAACAGAGGGAGATAAATTTACAAATTTGCAAATTCAAGAAATTTTATACTTGTGCAAGTTTTATGCTTCTGCCAGTTTTCGAGTCGAGGGATTTTTTAATATTTCTAATTTTTCAATTTGATAATTCAGAGAAGCAGGAAACAAAAGGGGTGCAAATGGGGATGAAAAGCCAGAGCGTGAGTCGTCGTCAAGGTAGTCGGGAACGAAGCCAGATTTTTAATTTGCCGATCGAAAGGCATCGGGGACACGCGTCGCATATTTCAAGCAGCTCGCGGTCTCCGCCAAAAACTGCACCCGCTAGTCGCCAACGCCGCGACGATTATTGATTTATCGAGGCCGACGCGTCGTTATTGCATTAGCGATAATACGCGTTTCGATCACGTGCGTGGCTATTACACGGAATTTGTTGTATCGCATACCTGGCGCGGATTCCAGTTCGCGACGTTGATAAATCGACGCAACTATGCTGTGATGGTATGATGCTGATCCGTCTGCAAATCTGTCCATGTCCATGGATGTTGAACGAAAACACTTTGGTAATTATTGTGAACCTTTTTTGGTCCTTTCAAAATTGTATTGATGTAGTGAGTCAAATATGGCAGTGGGTTAATTTGAAAATTTGGTTTGCCAGGTGCGTCAGGTGCGTCAGACATCAGTAACTGTTTGCTGTAATATTAAAACAAGTAAAGAAAGTTCAAATGTTAAGTACATATTATGTTCAAATATTATTTTATTCATCTGACAATACGAATTATAATTAAACCTCAAACTCAAATATATTATCAAAAAAGTAAAATTTACATTTGCACCGAGTGCGTCACGAGTGCGTCAAAGTACAAGTCCCTCAATATTTAAATAAATTAAAAAATTTGTATGTTTGCAAATTCCTAAGTTCCCAAATAATTCACAGCGAGATCCATAAAATTGAAACGCATCCTTAATTCAAAAATATTTTATGTACCGAGCCTTCCATCTCAAACAACTTGGCAGATATTCATCAGCTGTGAGGTAAAAATAAAACTAGTTAGACTCGAACATTCATTATAAAGTTTGAAAATTTCCTTCCATCCTCCGTGAGCTGGATGAGCAAAATTTGCGTCTTTTTGAAATTGCCTTTTACCTCTAATCCTTCGACGAAGAAACTGTCGCGAAGGTTTTCTCCGACGAAATAAGGAAGCTAAACTTCTTTGGCAGCTTTCAGGGTGTGCTAATTATTAATGGGACCTGTCTTTGTTTAGATTGAACGGATATCTCTATGTTTCTTGAATTTCTGAATTTAAAAATTTATTTTATTTTGTTATTTTAATATTTCAGAATATAAAAATAATTTTAGTTTGTCGTTTGAGTATTTCAGAATATAAAAATATTTTTAATTTGTCATTTTAATATTTCAGAGTATAAAAATATTTTTAATTTGACATTTTAATACTTCATAGTACAAAAATATTTTTAATTCGTCATTTTAATATTTGAGAATATAAAAATATTTTTAATTTGACATTTTAATATTTTAGAGTATAAAAATATTTTTAATTCTTCATTTTAATATTTGAGAATATAAAAATATTTTTAATTTGTCATTTTAATATTTCAGAGTATAAAAATATTTTTAATTCTTCATTTTAATATTTCAGAATATAAAAATATTTTTAATTCTTCATTTTAATATTTCAGAATATTAAAATATGAAATACTTGATACATACGTGTTGATGTTTGCATATTCTATTATCCATTCATATTCATATTCTCTTTGACATATTTATAAAAGAACTTCATATTTTTAAGTTTCCTCAAACCTCCAGTATCTATAATTACTTCACACGAATGAATCTCAGCCCTAAAGCAAACCTAACCTAAAACAAACAGCGTCGCAAAGAGGCGGGTCAAAGTACCTGAACGAGTTAAAAATTGCCGATCGAATGTTTGAACGATTTACGAACACTTTGTCGAAGAAATTGAAGTCCATCTCGAAATCTGTTTGCTAATACGATATCGAATCCCCGCAAGTTCGCAGCGTTAATGCTCCTCGAGAGCAGTATTACAAAAGCGATTCCTTTCTTCCGCACAATGGAAGATCCTTAAATTGATCGACGCTGCAGATACTAAACAGAGACAAAGACTCAAAGCTTCGGACGCAATGCTTATTGGTTACATAATTTATCCAGTCTCTCGGAACTGTAGCGAAGTATGAAACTGATAGAGAACAAAACAATCGTCTTTTTCCATCGTCGGACGCCCACGTAACAGAGCTCTCAGACGCAGTCGTTAACGGATACTATCGGTAGATTTTGAAAACAATGCCGCGTACTTTAGTCGCGGCTTTTATCAGCGAGAAATCGAGTCGAAGAAAAGCCGACTATTTGCCGTGGGACATATCAAATATACCGTGTCTCAGCTACGCAACACTCGAAATGGATCTGCGTCGATGCTGATTTATCGATACGACGTGGAACAATGACTTCGGGAACAAGTGGATTGCCACTGTAAACCGATAAACGTTGTCAGCCGTTTGCCAGTCAACTGTTTTGGGAGAGGGCAATTGGAACAATAGAGGAACATTCGCTCTGATATTTAAGGGTGTACAGGGTGTATCACAACTGGCGTAGGGTGGTGGGGAATGTCGTTCTGAATAAGATTTCCCTTTGCAGAAATTGCGTATGAAGCTTCGTTTTTGAGTTATTAAGGAAAAACGCGGACCAATCAGAGCGCGGATTCTGAATAAAATTTCCCTTTGCAAAAATGGGATGTGAAGCTTCGTTTTTGAATTATTAAGGAAAAACGCGGATCAATCAGAGCGCGAGGATCACGCATGCGCAGACGCTAGGCTCGAAGCTGCGCTCTTGCGTCTGCGCACGCGCTCCGCCTCTAAGCTCTCGTGTCTGCGCACGCGCTCCGCCTCTAAGCTCTTGCGTCTGCGCACGCGCTCCGCCTCTAAGCTCTCGTGTCTGCGCACGCGCTCCGCCTCTAAGCTCTCGCGTCTGCGCACGCGCTCCGCCTCTAAGCTCTCGCGTCCGCGCATGCGTAATCCTCGCGCTCTGATTGGTCCGTGTTTTTCCTTAATAATTCAAAAACGAGGCTTCAAACCCAATTTTCGCAAAGGGAAATTTTGTTCAAAATGACAAACCCCACCACCCCTTTCAGAGAATAACACTAGTTACAAGATACCCTGTATACAACAGTAAACATACGCAGTTTATACATATGTGTATTTGTTTAGTTTACTCATGCATGACCTGTGGACTTTACAGAGTGCAGAATGTGTCGCACGCATATTTCCATGCGTTGTATTCGCGCGCCATATATTTTCACGCGTTGTACTTCCACGCTATGCACTCTCTCGTTCGATGTGGTATCGTTACGCGTTCTATACGAACACTGTTCCATATTATCCACTGTATTTCCACTCGTGTCTCCATGTGACAAATGAAAACATGGAATAAATTGAATTAAACGTCACTGTTTTTCCATCAGAGGTAATCGAACTTTTAACTTGAATCATTGTCCTTAAAAAGTAGTAAAAACCGCAATATCGGTTATTGACCAGGACATAACAATTCCATTACACTTCCATACTGACCGTAACGACCCAATATTTCCACAATAATTTCGTTAGGAAAGAAAAGTTTGTAACTCGGAGGCTGTTGAAAATATTCTTCGTTTATGGAAGTTTCAATCGAACTTCAAACGAATAAAATTGCAGTTTTATTACGATAGTTCGAAGCAGTGAAATGCTGAAAATGTATATACAACGAACGGAAACGCCCTAATAGCACGGTACCGTTCGTGTCAGCCGAATAACGCTTTGGATAGATGCGCTGGGGAAAGCTTTCGACAATTTTCGACGCTGAGCTTTGTACAAATAAATGGGAACCTATCAAGAAAGCTTGGCTACCGCTGCGAATTTCCAGACTTTATGCCGTCCGCATGCATCGGCAAGTTTACGTTATATCGACTCTCTCTCTTATTTGTCAATGATATCGGGTTCCGTTCGAAACGGTACAACAATGACGCGAACTGGCTCGAGCGGTTTCCATCGACGCGTTTTCCAAAGATGAATGCCATTTTGTGCGGGACGTGCACGAATCGAAAACACCCGTTGCTCCGATTTCAGTTTCCATGTGGAAATTGTTTAACTGCGTGCAAATAATAAAGTCGACTCTTTTCGGAGAGCGACGATAAATTGAAAAGGCGTTTATTTCTGTCGAGCAAGGAAATATATTTACAAATTTTTTATGATATTAGATTTTTTAAGTTATTAATTTTCTGAGCTTATTACTTTTACAAATTTCATTTGTTACTTTTCAAGTTTTTTCATTTTTTCATTTCTGGTTTAAAATTTTCAATTTTTTGTTGTTTGTTATTTTACAAGATTGCCATATCTTTGGATTCCAAAATTCTTGGATTCCCAAATTTCTAGATTCCCAAATCCCTAGATTCGCAAACCCCAAGCTGCCCAACTCTCCAGCTTCTCAAATCCCAAGATTCCCAAATCCCACGCATCCCTAATCCCACGCATGCCAAATCCCACGCGTCCCAAATCCCACGAGTTCCAAATCCCACGCGTCCCAAATCCCACGCGTCCCAAATTCCACGCGTTCCAACTCCCACGCGTCCCAACTCCCAAGCTTCCCAACTCCCAAGCTTCTCAAC